ACGAGCCCTGGCCTGTAGCCCTTTGGTCTCCCTGTTCCCTGCTGCCCCTCTGCAGCTGCTCGGTGGCTGTGCACTGCAGGGAGGCTGCGGGCAGTGGCCATGCGGGAGGAAAGGGCTGATTGCTCCGTGGATTCTCCTTCCTTCCCAAGCGCAAAGTCCTGCCTCCCTTATGCGCTAGGCCGGTCAGCTGCTGCCCTAGGCGCCCTGTCTGCTCCCTCGCTGGGCCTTGCTCCGCTGCTGCCTGCTCTCTTCTCTGGGCTGTCTCCTGCTCACGTGCCCGTGTGGCAACCGTCCCCGGTGCCATCTCCGCCGCAGGGCTCAGCTCTGGCCTTGCCAGTACCACAGGCAGCGGCTGCCTGTTGCTTCCTCTCTCATCATGTGACGGCGCGTTGGGGTTCTCCCGTCTCCTGCACCCCTGTAATGGCACGAACAGACTCCACCAGCCAGTAGAGCAGAGGGAGTTTATTGCTCCTCCAGGATACAGCCCAGATGTCATCTGGTTACAGGAACGGGGGCTAAGAGGCCTCGGGGCCCCCCCTTGAGATGGGGGATGGCTGGGCCCTAAAATCCCAGCCCCCCCTCCCCAGCTCCTTCTCCCCTGCTTTCCAAACAGAAACTAACTCTCCTCCAGCCCTGCCCCCAGCCAGGACCAGCATTCCCCCTTCCTTTGTTCCTCTCCCTGGGGGTAGCTGGTCAGACAGGTTTGGAGCCCCCTTTGCATAATGACTCACCCCCTGCCCTGCTGGGCCGTGCTGCAGCCAGCAAGTTACCCCCCACTACGATACACCATGCAATAGAGTGCTGATTTGCCCCTTGCGTGTGCCTGAGTGGGGGGCTTGACATCCTCAGCGTCTTGCCGGCTGGCCCCACCCACGGGCGACATGAAGGTCTCCGGAATGGGCCCAGCACATATGCCTGCCCCCCCCTCTGCTGCCCTGCAAGGGGGTGGGGGGTCTGTGGCAGAGCCCTGAGCCACAGCCCAGTCCACTGTCTGCCTGTGACGTAGTGTGGGTACCTTGCTGGTTGCTGGGATGGGGCTGTGGGTGACCCCTGCTGACTGCACCATGGCCTAGCCGAGTAGCTGATGGGACAGGGAGGTGCCTGTTCGACCGGGTACCTCCCCGGGAGAGGAACAAAGGGAGGTGCAACGCTGCCCCTGGCTGGGGGGGCGGGGCTGGAAGGGGGGCTTTAGTTTCTGGCTGGAATCATGGAGGAAGCAGCCTAAGCAAGGGGCTGGGATTTAGGGGCCCAGTCTCCCCCATCTCAAGGGGGCTGAGGCATCCCAGGCCTGCCCTGGAACCTGATGACATTTGTGCTGGGCTGTACCCTGGAGGAGCAATAAACTCCCTCTGTTCTACTGGCTGGGGGAGTCTGTTCGTGTCATTACGGGGTGCAGGAGGCGGGGACCCCAACGCGCCGTCACACAGCCCTACTCCCTGTCCCTGTGCCATGGGTCAATCTGCCCCCTCCTTCCCTGCAGCCCTGCCTCAGTCCCTCCTC